TGATTCCCAGCTTTTTAATGCACTTTTGTCTTTTTATTTCTTTTGTCTTTAAACACCTGAATATATCTGGGTTTCTAATAATATGCAGATATTTAGACACTATTAGTTATTATTTTATGAATGAATCTGCAAAATAATTACAGTAATGCCCCCCTAAATGTATCAGAAAGAAATCAAACCTATCAATCAGTCGTCCAAGTTAGTTAGTGTTGTCGAAAAGGGTTTAATTGTGTCATAGTTTTTTAAAAAGTACAATTTTATTTAGTTATTACCGAGTTTATTTGATCAGATAATGTCCAAAACTATATAATATTTAACAGATAATTAGTATTTACTTGTATTTGAAGTGCTCTCTACTTTCTCAGTTTACTTTTTATTGCAGTAAATGGATCCTTGATGCATATTAGAAACAAAAAACCTGGTTCCCTTGATATTATAGAAGGAAAAAAGAGAAATCTGGTGGAAACGGCAAGCTTTCTGCAGGAAAATCGTTCATCATTAAAACATAAGTACAGGGTTTTTTTTGTGCATGACAAAAAGCACGACAGGGGAAAAGATCATTTTGGCAGAAGAGCAGGTCTGACAAAATAATTTCCCTTTTGGCTTCAACCCGACAGCTTAAATGCATAATAATCAGCAGGGAAAATAAATCTGTGACTGGAGTTAAAACCCCAAAACGCTCTGCCCTCGGCTCAGCAGATACTGTATCTGTGCACAGTCAAAACAAGCTTTCTTTAAAAAGCTGGAGGGACATTTGTACGACTGTAGACTCATAAGATGACAACAACACGTCAGATATCTGTTTTCATGTTGGTACCTGATGAGGAATCTTAACAAGAGAGCCTGTTTGACTTTAGGCCACAGAAGGAGAAGCTTATCTGACATTGAGGCCAAAAACAGGGGAAGCGTGATTTACCAGATTTTCACAGTTGCAGTTCATCTAAATTCTGAAAGATGTTTTGGAAACGGCTGCATTTCTCGTGGAACTATCTACAAAAATCAGGACGTCTTTTGTCCACTGAAGCAAAGCCCCTCTGAGCGCCGAATCCCAAACAAGATCAGAAGACAAGATGTATCTTCGTATTGATTCAGGTCTTCTAAATTAAACATAGAGCTCTGGTAAGGCGTACATATTCTAAACTCGTTGTGTATTTATCCGGAAAATCGAAGGCGAAGATATAGCACACCTGAGGCAAACATTTAGTGATGTATGACACTAATAAACGAATGTACCGAGGCGGAGAGAGGCTGTTTGGCATGAGCTGGGTGTTGCTTAATCAATCAGTGGGACAGCAGCTTTAATGACTGAGTCATGGAGGTATTGATCGGGAGCCTTTGAGGTGGGGAGGTGATCAATCCCAGCCTGAAGCAGCCGTGTGGGAAAGAGACTCCTCCGCTGTCCAGATTAAAGGCTAAAAGAAAACAAAGGATTTAAAAAGGGACTGTGTGTTGATGCACCATGTTGACAAAAGTGTTTTTTATTATAAGGGACTGTAATATTATCATGTGCAGGTGTATATCAGTATGTAGTGTCTCTACTTTAAAGAGTCCTCTCCTGCTGATGTCCAGGTGTATATCAGTATGTAGTGTCTCTACTTTAAAGAGTCCTCTCCTGCTGATGTTCAGGTGTATATCAGTATGTAGTGTCTCTACTTTAAAGAGTCCTCTCCTGCTGATATTCAGGTGTATATCAGTATGTAGTGTCTCTACTTTAAAGAGTCCTCTCCTGCTGATGTTCAGGGTGTATAATCAGTATGTAGTGTCTCTACTTAAGAGTCCCTCTCCTGCTGATGTTCAGGTGTATATCAGTATGTAGTGTCCTCTACTTTAAAGAGTCCTCTCCTGCTGATGTTTCAGGTGTATATCAGTATGTAGTGTCTCTACTTTAAGAGTCCTCTCCTGATGATGTTCAGGTGTATATCAGTAATGTAGTGTCTCTACTTTAAAGAGTCCTCTCCTGCTGATGTTCAGGTGTATATCAGTATGTAGTGGTCTCTACTTTAAAGAGTCCTCTCCTGCTGATGTTCAGGTGTATATCATATGTAGTGTCTCTACTTTAAAGAGTCCTCTCCTGCTGATGTTCAGGTGTATATCAGTATGTAGTGTCTCTACTTTAAAGAGTCCTCTCCTGCTGATGTTCAGGTGTATATCAGTATGTAGTGTCTCTACTTTAAAGAGTCCTCTCCTGCTGATGTTCAGGTGTATATCAGTATGCAGTGTCTCTACTTTAAAGAGTCCTCTCCTGCTGATGTTCAGGTGTAATCAGTATGTAGTGTCTCTACTTTAAAGAGTCCTCTCCTGCTGATGTTCAGGTGTATATCAGTATGTAGTGTCTCTACTTTAAAGAGTTCCTCTCCTGCTGATGTTCAGGTGTATATCAGTATGTAGTGTCTCTACTTTAAAGAGTCCTCTCCTGCTGATGTTCAGGTGTATATCAGTATGTAGTGTCTCTACTTTAAAGAGTCCTCTCCTGCTGATGTTCAGAGGGTGTATCAGTAATGTAGTGTCTCTACTTTAAAGATCCTCATCCTGCTGATGTTCAGTGTAATTCAGTATTAGTGTATAATCAGTATTAAGTGTATCTCTAGTGTGTCTCTACTTTAAAGAGTCCTCTCCTGCTGATGTTCAGGTGTATATCAGTATGTAGTGTCTCTACTTTAAAGAGTCCTCTCCTGCTGATGTTCCCAGTGTATATCAGTATGGTAGTGTCTCTACTTTAAAGAGTCCTCTCCTGCTGGATGTTCACTGTATATCAGTATGTAGTGTCTCTACTTTAAAGAGTCCTCTCCTGCTGATGTTCAGGTGTATATCAGTATGTAGTGTCTCTACTTTAAAGAGTCCTCTCCTGCTGATGTTCAGGTGTATATCAGTATGTAGTGTCTCTACTTTAAAGAGTCTCTCCTGCTGATGTTCAGGTGTATATCAGTATGTAGTGTCTCTACTTTAAAGAAGTCCTCTCCTGCCTGATTTCAGGTGTATATCAGTATGTGTGTCTCTACTTAAAGAGTTCCTCTCATGCTGATGTTCAGGTGGATATCAGTATGTAGTGTCTCTACTTTAAGAGTCCTCTCCTGCTGATGTTCAGAGTGGTATTTCAGTATGTCGTGTCCTCTACTTTAAGAGTCCTCATCCTGCTGATGTCCAGGTGTATATCAGTATGTAGTGTCTTCTACTTTAAAGAGTCCTCTCCTGCTGATGTTCAGGTGTATATCAGTATGTAGTGTCTCTACTTTAAAGAGTCCTCTCCTGCTGATGTTCAGGTGTATATCAGTATGTAGTGTCCTCTACTTTAAAGAGTCCTCTCCTGCTGATGTTAAGGTGTATATCAGTATGTTAGTGGTCCTCCTAACTATTAAAGAGTCCTCCTCTCCTGCTGATGGTTCAGGGTGTATATCAGTAAATGTAGTGTGGGTCTACTTTAAAAGAGTCCTTCTCCTGCTGATGTTCAGGTGTAATATCCAGTAGTGTGAGTGTATCTACTTTAAAGAGTCCTCTCCTGCTGATGTTCAGGTGTATATCAGTATGTAGTGTCTCTACTTTAAAGAGTCCTCTTCCTGCTGATGTTCAGGTGTATATCAGTATGTAGTGTCTCTACTTTAAAGAGTCCTCTCCTGCTGATGTTCAGGTTCATACAGTATGTAGTGTCTCTACTTTAAAGAGTCCTCTCCTGCTGATGTTCAGGTGTAATATCACTATGTAGTGTCTCTACTTTAAAGAGTCCTCTCCTGCTGATGTTCAGGTGTATATCAGCATGTAGTGTCTCTACGTTAAAGATTCAGTTATATCAGTATGTAGTGTCTCTACTATTAAAGAGTCCATCTCCTGCGGCCAGTTTGTAGTCATATGCAGAGAGTGGGTTTGCTAGATACAAGCTTTTACCAAAAGCCTTAAGGTGTCAAATGGAAATGCAGGATTGTGAGAACACGTGTACATTATGTGGAGGGGGAAAATTTTGGGCAGAGGTTTGATGGTGGGAGTGGGGTTGAGCTGCTCGCAGATGTTGGACAGCCTCACTGCAGCAGCCTTTCTAAACCCCTGTGGCTGCCAGAGTGATGAAACCAGCTTGATTCTGTTGGGAAAACACTGAATGTAATTCCTTCAATCTGAGAGTGAACAATGATACCAAAAGGTACCCAACTGTAGCTGTGAACATGACAGGATGTGTGATTACCTAGAAGAGCATCAGGACTGTTTGAGGCATATGATAGCTATGTGATTAACATGATGATTCAGCCTCTATGGAGAGAGACATCAAGCATGCTCATTTCTGACGTGGAGCTAATCTGAAGTAAACATTGAATACTGCTTTCTATTCCTCCATCTTGTGACTGTGTAACTCCCTCTCTTGGATATCAGCATGTGAAGGACACTGCTCAGTAACTAGTTGATGCTCTGTATGTGATGACTACTTTCAGAATATTGAGAAAAAGTCAGAATTATGGGGAAAAGTCAGATTTGTTTGTAAAAGTAAAAAATAAATTATAAAAGTCCGAATTTTGAGATTTTGAGAAAAAGTCAGGATTTTGAGAAAAAGTCAGGATTTTGAGAAAAAGTAAGGATTTGTTGGTAAAAGTTAGAATTTTGAGTAAAAGTCAGAATTTTAAGAAAAAGTCAGAATTTTGAGAAAAAGTCAGAATTTGAGAAAAGTCCGAATTAGAATTTTTTTGATTTTGAGAAAGTCCGAATTTTGGGATTTTCAGAAAAAAGCCAACATTTTGAGAACAAACATTATTTGGTGCATGACAGGATGTATGATTATCTACAAGAACCGGTATTCCTCCATCTTGTGACTGTGTAACTCCCTCTCTTGGATATCAGCATGTGAAGGACACTGTTCAGGAACTAGTTGATGCTCTGTATGTGATGACTACTTCCATTCTTGAGAGGATCACAAATACATGGATCCTGAGACTGAAGCTCAAGCCGGTGACCAGCGATATTTTTCTAACAATTCTCCAAGAACAAGAGCTCCACATTAGGAGTGTTTTGATTTTGTTTACCTCTGACTGCTCCTCCTCTCGGTCCACTTCTTCCTGCAGGAGGTTCTGCGCCGACTGCAGGCTGAGCTTCTGGCCACGAGTTCCTGCAAAGAGACAAGAGGAAGATGAGGCACTGGAAAGAGAGAATCCAGTAAACAGGAAACCGCAGCAGAGAAAAATAATTTCCGAATTACAAAAGAGCCTTGAGGGCATGTGCTGACGAGGAGACGTTGGGGATGGGACGGACAGTTGTTGGCTAGAAAATAAGGGGCAAAGAGGGGTTGTGAATATTACACTTTAAGCTATTCTTAGTTCGGTTTGACCACGAAACTGAAGTCTCATTTTTGCCTCCTACTCAGATTACACTCCGTCTATAAATCTTCAACGAAACACAATGAATTATCCAAGCTCTCTTTCACATCCTCAACAGGAACCCCTGAGAGCTCAGTGCTCATGTTCACACACACAAATCCTTTGTTTGAATTATTTATCTTCATGTCAATATGATAAAAAATTCAACGAGCCTTGACAAATAGATTGCAGCAAGCAGCTCTCAAATATGCGTCGAACATAATCTTGCAGAGGAGATTCAAACAAGATAAGAATCAGCATTACATGAGGATAAAGAAAGCAGTGTTTTGTTGTTGTGATGCATTTGGTCAGCAAACTGTCAGATGGTGCTCAGTTATGGAAGCTTTCAAGGTACATTTTTAACTGTTAACCCATATGTTCTCTCTTGTTAATACAAAACAGAATGGTAGCCAAAACTACCAAAAGAAGAAATCTGTCGAACCTTAACAAACAGCATGCAGATTTCCACTTAGTGTGGTTTTTACTCTACAAGATCATCAATATCTTAGTTTTCCATCAGGCTTACACACCCATACATCTCATACACAGAAACATAAGCTCCTATATCCCAAGTGTTTGATATGTATTCGGTATCAAAGTGTTTCAATCTTAAAGCTAGGATAGGTAAGTTTGAGAAACCGGCTCGAGTTACACTTTTTGTTATATTCCATGGAATGCTCTTAACATCCCGATAGCAATGAATATCTGAAGGGCTTTGACAAAAGATCCATAAAAAAAATCTGTGGAAGCCGTGACGCTGTAAAAAGCTCGACCAATCATCTGAGCCGGCTAAAGTAACTGGATGGCCTACCTGCCTGTCAGCCTTCCATCTGGGCACAAACTTATCTCGTGCCCTCATTGGTCATGTGCGCGTTCGTGTGTGTTGGAGGAGGGGCTCTGGAAGGAAGTGGAAGATTTTCTCCGGCTGTGTATTTTCACATTCTAGCGCACTCGAGCTGGTTTCTCCAAAATGACCTACCCCACCTTTAATGCATGGGTAAAATGCAGACAGGAAGTGATAATAGCCATGTTGGCATACTTGTATTGGTGCCAAGTTTTAAAAATGCAAACCGAATATCGGCTTTTTTCTTCTGTTTTTATCGCATATTATTCTTTCCTATAAACTGACCTCTAATCAATAATGTTTTCTTTATATTCATCCCCTGCACTGTGGCACAGCCTCCCATTGGATCTTACAGTAGAACAGCAACCTCAATTGGCATTTTAAAAACTAAATTAAAGACCTCTCTGTTTAAATTATAATTTGGGGCAATTGTAATATTTTTAGTAGTGTGGGGGAAACTTCTGTGTAGCAATGTCACCGACTCAAAAGGAGACACGGGGAGAGCTTTGATGTCAAACACTGATGGGTTATTTAGGAGCTTCGGCCAGAGAATTCACAAAACAAGTCAAAGAGCCAGAGGTCCTGACTTCACGGTAGAGTTGCCACCATACTTGCCAACCTTGAGACCTCAGAAATCAAATCATCAAAAACCACCGCAGGGGGGGGGGGGGGGGGGGGGGGGGGGGGGGGGGTGTTAGTTGATCGCCGGAGCTGTTAGATTAACATCTACACATGCTTACTGTAGTTGTAAGTGCACTGCCTTGCAGCCTGTAGCACCATCCTTGATGGAGCAGGCTGGACCTGTATTTTTCAGGAAAGGAGTGAGCAGAGGGTATAGTTGTCGATTCTTGTTCTGCTTTCTGTGACTATCGGCTCACCCTCTCAGACTTTCAGTTGCGCGCGCTACTAAAGAGACGCGCTTCCACGGAAACCAAACAATGGTGTAGCTGTATTAAAGTCCGAGTGGAAACAGTCCTGAGTAAATCTGATTTGGTCAGAAATCGGGAGAAATGCGGGAGAAATATGACCCCGGGAGGAAACCGGGAGAGGGCAATGAAATCGGGAGTTTCCCGCGAAAATCAGGAGGGTTGGCAAGTATGGTTGCCACGTCAATCCTGAAGAACTCTACCCCAGATGTATTTAGCTAGTTCAGAGAGAATAATCAACATTGTGCAGAACAAGATAGAACCATAACACCTCTATCAGCTGACGCCAACAGGCAGGAGCAGGGAGAGAGCACTGAGAGCACAGCAGCCAAGGTTACAGGTGCGTGTGCTCAGTCAGGACAGAACTGATAAACTGGGTCACAGTTATGGGCCTTGGGACATATTTCCCCAACAAGTAGTGTCACTGTTCATGTTTTATTGTTCAGTTATATAACTTTCTGTTTGTTTATACCTTGTTTTTAAATGATGTTCCTCACTTTTTATTGTCATTTTCTGTCGCACTTTGGGCTGCGTCAAGTATGAAAGGTGCTATATAAATAAAGTCTATTATTATTATTACTTATGTCTGTTCTACTGCTGCTGCAACAACCACTGTATTTCCCCTCTGAGGATCAATAAAAGCCTAACCTAAAAACAAACTGGCTCAAGTAGTAGCCACTATCTTCCTTATTTCATCATAAACACAAACTAAGTGACCCTTGCTTACACACAGGACTGTTTACCTACGAGGAGCCCCTCTAATGCAAAGTGACGAGCACCAGTTAGAGGCAGTAAAGGCTGCAGCCGGCTACATAAATTGAGTTGCAGCGTGCCATTCGCAGCATGTGTTTCCCTCCTGGGGATCGTGGTATGTGTTCATTGTGACCCAGAGTGTGTGTGTGTCGCTGCTGGAGACAGTGTGACAGCTCTGAATGGATTTAGCAGAGACTGGGGGGGGCAAACAAAGGTCAGAGAAATGACTCTAATAACGATAAGCCTCCGAGGGAAAATCTGTGCAGAGAGAGAGATAAACATCGTGAGCAGCCAGATGCTGCTGCTGTCACTACAGCGCCAATACATCGATATTTTGCTCGTATTTAAGGTGATAAAATGTTTTTATTTGAATAGATTTGCCCGTGGAGAATGAGATTTTGATGTTAACTTGTACTACTAGCATCACAAATTAAAACACATTGAGCAAATAAAGCCCAGAGTGTAATCTGGTGGATGACACAAGGTGGTTTTGGAGTTTCAAAAGAGAAATGATTTAACATTGTAACTTCATTTTGACTTGTGTTGACAAATTAGGATTTAAGTCATTCATATTTCACATGCATTTCCAACATCGTGTGCAGGCAGCTGGAGGTCTGGTTTCTCCCTTCTACCGTCACTACAGCGCCAATACATATTATATGTTGCTTGTATGAATGTAATTTATGGCGCTAACGTCTTTTAGTTTGAACAGATTTGCCTGTGGAGAATGAGATATTTCTGTTAACTCACAAATTAAACCCCATTTACATCCATTGAGAAAATAAAGCCCAAAGTATAATCTGGTGGATGACACAAGGTTGATTGGAGTCATCATTTCAAAAAGAGAAATGATTTAACGTTGTAAATGCGTTCTATAGTGTTAACTGCATATTAATTAGGATTTAAGTAATGTATATATCACTTTCATTTCATTTTGTCCTAACCTTCTGTGATTATATAAGGATATATTTGCAAGTAGGACTGTTGGTGTGTAAGACACAATATATTTGAAGACGATTTATCTATTTAAAAAAACAGAATTATGGTGCTAACATCATTTTGTGTGCAACTAAAATGTTGTTTTTGAAAAGCCTAACACAAACAAATATCGATCGAAGCAGAACAAAATTGTTGGATAAGAACATGTTGTGAATTTTGGAAATGATTACTTCCATCTTTTTGCAATAAATGTGGACTTTTGGACTTTACAATGCTTTGGAGGGAATATTGGAACTGTTTGGATCGCAGCAGTAGGAAACAGTCCTACGCAGGAACCACTGGAATCTAATTCTAGTATAATAAAACTAATAGAAGTCTAGACTGATCTTTATCTGCAACTGTGCAGAAACTCAAGGTTGAAACAGGATGAATAGACAAAGAAAAGACAAACAAATCAATGAATACAGCTTTAAAAAAGCACTTATATAAGTGCTATATAAATAAAGGTTATTAATATTACTAAAGCTCCAGCAGTTTGGCAGCCACATCATTACATAAATGCCCTCTAACAAGAGGAAATAAATACACATTTGCTCGACCAAACCTCACACTATGTTGTGCTTTCTATAGCATTAATAATCCACGATGTGTTTCATGGTTCTGCCCATCATTGTGTGAACATCGAGTCGTAGAAAGCAGGCATGCATTAAGGCCTCGTTCATGACCTCTGAGCAGGAGTAGGGGGAGATGGGGGTGTAATGAGAGGTGACAGCCAGGCAAACAAACACTCCTGCAGCAGCTGGAAGTGACCTACATTTGAGGAAGTGGAGAGTGACGGAGTAAAGGGGGGGTTGGGGGTTTGGACCTGGAGGCCACAGTAGCGTACAGAGCGGTGAATGGTGGTGGTGGTGATGGAGCTTCACGTTTTGTCTGGGAGCCGACATGAGACGATGGGCGTCAACCAAAGTTCATGTGTGTGTGTCTCAGGGCACAGACTGTTTAAAGATGGACGCTGATTTCACCACTATGTTACTGAAGAGACGCAATATTGACAATTACAACACCGTTTTAACGCCTAGCTATTGTAAAATAGGGTATTGTCGAAAAAATTGATGTGAGATTTTATGACAAAGTAGCTACCTGTCTCTAATGCAAACAAGCCCATAATAACGTTTTACTTTTCGCCTTAAAAAGCACATATATTTCAAATGTTCTGCTTAGAGATGTCCCGCCCCTTATCCTATCACGTACAATGTGATTGAGCGCTGGCCAATAGAAGCGTGAGTGTTAC